GGTACTTATATTCCACAGTACCTATGTTCCCTGGTACCCATGTTCCAGGTACTTATGTTCGAGGAGTTTAGTCCCTGTTTTGGACCTGGGGTCTTTCTGTTTGGGTTTCCTGGTCGTTAGTCAGGATAAATAAAGTTCGGGACTTTTCCACTGAAATATGAAGATTTGTGACATTTTTTAACAAGAACGTAAAACGACTTTTTGATTTAGTGTTTTTTTCCCACTTGAACGTCTGTCACTCCTGACTCTGACATGACAAAAAACCTGAACAGGCTGAACCGGGACAGCTCTAAAACCGGTCCATGAAGCACACACGCCCAGCTTCTGTGTGTTTCAGCAGCTCTGACAGTTTACTGAAAAATGTAGGAAATACCTGAAAAATTCCAACACGTCTGCTAAAAAGATCAAGACAAGACTTTTGTTTGTGTCTGAATTCAAAATAAAATAAAATAAAATAAAATAAAATAAAATTAGAGAATTTGCATTTCCAGCGAAAATGCTAGTGTGATTACCTCTTGCTGGTAACTTTAGCTGAAGCACAGCTAAGAAGCACATTGATGATGTCACCGATGTGACTGATGTSACTGATGATGTCACTGACGAMATCATCATCAAAATTGTAAAAATTGAAATTGCTAAAAAACTATAAAAAWTTAAGATACCAAAAATGATWCCAGGAATGTCCTGAAGGAGCTGAACATTTTRTTATATKAATGGTTTAAATAGMATAAAAATTGTGGAAGGAGAAGCYGTCCAAAAAATRTACGGAAGAAACTGATTAAATTAAATKAACCTCTATGTAGATGAAGTGTTTGCTGTTCTGGATGGTGTTCACGTAGGCCAGGTGGATGGACTCCTCGTGATTCTTGATGCCAGCAGACCAGTCTGAGGCAGAGCGAAGAATCTGAAGAGACAAACGGCAAAATGTCAGCCATCAGAAACATTAAATGTTGGTACAAAATGACCGAAGCTAAAATGGTACAACCTGGTACCAGTTCAGTAAAGAAACCCTGAGTTATTTTTCATTCAAAAAAGAATTTAGCTGAATAGCTAAAAAAGCTAAAACTAGACTAAAATTGGTTTAAAAATTAGCTGGAATTAGCACGAATATAAAGAGCACGTTCATATAAAAGGTGAAATTAGCTTAAAAAAGCTCAAATTARTCTATTAACATGTACAAAAAAATGACAAATCATAAGTAAAATGAAAGGGAGCAGAAACAAGAAAAAATCTTATATCTGCCCTTTAAAATTTTTTTAAAATTAGCTAAAGAGTAGCTAAAAACAAAACAGTTGAAATTAGGGGAAAACAGCTGGAATTAGCATAATAGAAGTCGAAGGAAGATGAAATGAGAATAAAGGAGTTTAAAACAGTAGAACCAGAACAAAAARTAAARATTTATAAACATTTTGAAGGTTTTAAGGATGTTGAAATCAGCTCAGTTTATTTTCCATGAGAGAAAAATGGCAGAAAAAGCTAAATGTCTGAAAGTCACAGCTAAAATGTCCTGAAGCAGCCGAATGTTTTGATCAACTGTTGAAACAGAACAAAAACTGTGGAACGAGATACGTGCAGAAAAACGATCCCAAAAATGTGATTGTTGGACAAACGTTCACACAGCTGAAGCTGAACGTATCAGAAGAAGAGAAAAAGCCGAAGCTACCTGCACTTTGGTGTTGACACAGTTGGGAACTTGGTAGCGCTGCTCTCCGGCCGTGGTGTGAGACTTTGGCAGCAGACATGGAAACGACAGACCTCGATACTTCAGCTTCACCAGCTGATATGAGACAAGAGATATGAAAGTGTTTAATTTATATTTAGTGTTTGATGTTGTGTTAAATAACCAGTAAAACCCCTGCAGCCCCTCTCTGGACCACCAGCCCCACCTTGGTGAAATTCCACCGCTGGATGAAGTGTCTCGCCACGTCTCGAGCCGCCCGCCCGTGGACCACCGAGGCGATGTCGTGCCAGGGCATTCTGGGCATTGTGTGTCTGTCGATGAAATCTACAAACAGAGCAGAGATTAATCAACAAMAGATTTTTGGCGCAGAGGGAACCCCACAGCCGGGGGACACCTGAGCGGCGTGCTCACCATCAAACGGTTTGTCCAGCTGGATCCAGTCTTTGTACACAAAGTTGCAGTAGTCCTTCCCATGCCAGAACCTGGTGTTTCCAAACAGCTCTCCCACCCCGGTGTGCAGGCTTCGCACCGAGCTGCTCCCTGAAACACAAACATGATCATTTTCACAACACTTCCACTAATACCACAAACTAATCCAGACTTTATATTCAGGTTTAGGGTTAATAATCCATCCTGCAGCAATGGATTCAACTGTTAATTACATTTTTAATGAGTTGTTAAAAGCTGGAAAACAACAACTCTGCTAGTTTTGTTGTTTAGTTTGTGTTTTAGAGCCTGTTGAAACAATAAACTCCAGATCTGTGCTTTAAAATCTCTGCTTTGTCGACTCCAGAGAAGTTAAACTAATAAGTTAATTATCAAGCTGCTGGCCACACGTCTCAGCTCCACTCTGACAGCTGAATGTTTAAGAAACTGCAGCTCAGGATATAAACCAGGAGCTGGGGTCTGACTGCTCTTAAAGCACAGACAGAAGCAGGACAAACACATTCAGACCCAACAGAACTCTTRTCTTTATGAGCCGGATTTATTACACACCAATCATAAAAAACTAATTCAAGTATTTTTCTTTTGTTTGCATTTTAAGTGTTTCATCTGCAGCTAAAAGTCTGTTTTAATAAATATTCAGACCGATCCACTCGTGTTTTTTCTGTCCCTTCTCCTGCATTTTGAACCTCAAACTGGTTCTGCTGATATTTACAGATTTAAAAAAAATTTTTCAGGAAGTTTTAATTAGTTTTTACTCATACTAGGAAATAAAAAAACTGCTTTGCTGATTAAAACTCCTTACAGGAACGATTGTTTCGGTCGTAAAAGGAAGTTATAATGACTTCAGTTTTGTTTTATTAGTATAAATATAAAATATGTAGGTTTCAAGATGGCCGCCACAAACATTGGCGCGATGACAAATGAGAGGAGTTCTGATGAAACATCAGCATGCGAGGTGGTGGGCGACGTGCATTTCTTCAACAAACGCTCGTTTAAAAAAAATCTAATCAAATCTGTATTTTTGGTTTGTAAACAAACCAAAATAAAGATCCAAACAATGATCAAACATCATCTTTCTGTTTGGAATCAAAGAGCTCAACCTTTGAGCAGAGGAACCAAAGGTTGTGGGCTCCACAGCAAAGCATGCTGGGAAACAGGGACCCCCCGATGGCTCCCACTCACCAGCTGCAGCGCCCGCCCTCGGCTCCGAGGAGGTCTGGCTGCTGACGCCGTGAGACCGACCTGAACAAACCGTCCAGAAGAGAAAAATAAAAGCTCCAAACACAAGACCTGCTTCTGGGCTCAGGGCTCTGCAAGCTACGGCCCCAGGGCCACGTGTGGCCCCTTCACCAAAAATACCATGAAAATGTATTTTCTACTCAGAACTTTAACATAAAAAAGATTTTATGTCCTAATTTAAGCCAATCTGTAAATAAAGTTTATTTGATAAAATGATTCTAACAATACAGGAAGCAAAACTGATTAATTTACGCTAATAGATTGTTAGCATGCTAACATGCTAACATGCTAATAGATTGTTAGCATGTTAGCTTCTTCATTAATCGAGCTGTAAAATTTAACACTTTAACAAGATCCTGAGGAGAAAAACACCTTCTGTACAGGTTTCTGTAAATCATGATATTTCCATTAAACGGCTTAAATTTTATTTTTTATTTAAGAAATTTTTTAGGAGGGAAGACTGTGTTAGCTTTGTAGCAGAAAGTAGCTATAAATTAGCTTACAAGTATCAGAATAGTAGCTAAAAGTGACAGAATAGAACTAAAAACTAAAAGTAACAAAATAATAGCTAAAGCTAAATGCATTAAAATAGTAGATAAAAGCCAAAAATAATAGAATAAAAGCAAAACAATAGCTAAAAACTAAAAGTATCAGAATGATAAGTTAAAGCTAAATTTATCAAATGCTAGCTAAAATCTAACAATAATCGCTAAATGCAACAGAATGATGATTAAAAGCTAAAAGTAAAAATAGATAAAAATCTATTATTATTATTAAGCTAGAACAGTAGATTAAAGCTAAATGCATCAAAATTTTACTAAAGCTAAAATTAACAAAATGGTACCTAAACACTAAAAGTAACAGAATGATAGCTAAAAGCTAAATGTAAAAGAACGACACATTAAAAAGGTAAATGCTTCAAAATGTTAGCTAAATGCTAAAAATAACAAAATGGTACATGAAAACAGAATGATAGCTAAAAAAAAGCTGAAAGTGACACAATAATAGCTGAAAGTATCAAAATGACAGATTAAAGTGAAATGTATCAAAATGAGAGCTAAAAGCTAAACGCAGCTAAATGCTGGAGAGTTTCAGTCATTTTTATTTGAGCTGTGATATTTTTCGGTTGTGTTCCAGATGAACCTTTGATTATAGATCTTTAACTTCCTGGTTTATAAATCTACAGTTATTTAACACCGAGCTGTTTGATCTGAAACCGTTCTGGGCGTGTCGGCTGCAGACCCTCAGACTCACTCAGCTGCTCGTCCTCCAGGTCGCTGTCGCTGTCGGCGTGGACCAGGCCGTGTTTCTGCAGGTGTCTCCTGATGCTGAACCTGGTCCTCCTCATCCTGCCCCTCAGCTTSGGCTCTTTCCCCGAGTCTGTCACCGTGAAGATGCTGTTCCCGCTCCTGTAGGAGGGGCCGCCGCTGCCGTTAGCTGGAGGAGCGGCAGTGGTGGGGAACACTGCTGCAGCCTGAAACAAACAAAAAAAGGACTTTTATTTTGTAATGACGACAAAACGGCTGACGTAGACCAGCTCAAAAGAAACATCAAACTGAGTTCAGATCAGCTCCGACTGTCAGAGGGTTTCAGGTTGTTTCAACTACCTGCTCCAGGTGAGAGAGCGTCACRCTCCCGACGTCCGTGAGGCGGTGCTCCTTATCGTCCCAGCGTCCGTACGCCAGGTCGATCCCGCCCACGAAGGCCACCGATTGGTCGACCACGATGATCTTCTCATGATGCGCCCACAGGTAGACGGTGGAGGAGACGTGGTCTGGGTGCCGCATCACCTGAGGAATGACAGGAAACAGCTGAATCAGCAGGTGTGTCTGACCTGTGGGACCTGYGGGACCTGCAGGGACCTGCAGGGACTGACCCGGATGTTGGGGTGCAGGTTCAGAAGAGTCCTCTTGCTGTAGCCTGAGTTTATTCCCAGAGCTAGCTCCACCTCCTTGTAGAGCATCACAAAGATCCGAACACCTTGTTGCTGCAGAAACACACCCGGTCAGAAACTGTCAGAAACTGTCAGAAACTGTCAGAAACTGGAGGATTTGTTTCCTCAGAAAACATTTAATCAGTTTCACGTCAGCCTCTGATAAAAACAGTTAAAGGTTTGCATCTCACAGCTTTCCGCCGCAGGATGCAGTCCAGACGCCATCGATTCCCTTCCACCACCGGCCTCTTCAGGAAGATCTCTGGACTCAACCTGAAGAAACAAACRACAAAAAGTCTGAATGAGTCCTTCACTTGTGGTCTGTATGAAGTGGAACTGCAACACTTTGGTCTGAATTACTCCTTACTGTAACCCCACAAGCCCCGCCTCTTTTCTGACGTATGTCTCAGACCAACTCATTTTGAGTCTGTCTCTTTAAATCCAAAAAAAAAAAGTTTCACCACTTGTTACTAACTTGTGGCACTGCATTATCTCCTAGCCACATGTTATCTTGTGACCACACATGATCTCCTGGCCAAGGGTTTTTATCTCCTGGCCACWYRTTAMWATCTTGTGGCCATGCATTACTAACTTCTAGCCACGTTATCTTGTGACCGCACATTATGATGTCCTGGCAACATGTTTTTATCTTCTGGCCACACATTACAATATTGTGGCCATGCATTATTATCTCCTAGCCACATGTTATCTTGTTGCCACACATTATCTCCTGGCCAAGCATTATCTTGTGACCACTAATTATTATTTCATGGCCATGCATTAATATCTTTCTCACATTAACAATTTTTATCCAATGTTGTTGTTAATTTACAGATGATCAGCGTTTAGAAAGAGAAAAAATCAGCAGGAACACAAACAGACTCTGTCAGGCTGTAATCATCTGTTTGACCAGGAAACCTCCCTGAGAGGTGATCACCACCTGAACCTGCTGAACTCACAAACCTGGACCTGTGTCCCCATGTCCCTGTGTCCCCGTGTCCTTGTGTCCCCGTGTCCTTGTGTCCTTGTGTCCCCATGTCCCTGTGTCCCTGTGTCCTCGTGTCCTAATGTCCCTGTGTCCTCATGTCCTTGTGTCCCCGTGTCCTCATGTCCTTGTGTCCCCTTGTCCTCATGTCCTTGTGTCCCCGTGTCCCTGTGTCCCCGTGTCCTCGTGTCCCCATGTCCTTGTGTCCCCGTGTCCTCATGTCCCGTGTCCTTGTGTTTTCATGTCCTTGTGTCCCCATATCCCTGTGTCCCCGTGTCCTTATGTCCCCGTGTCCTCATGTCCCCGTGTCTTCATGTCCTTGTCCCCATGTCCCTGTGTCCCCGTGTCCTCATGTCCCCATGTCCTCGTGTCCCCGTGTCCTCATGTCCCCATGTCCTCGTGTCCCCGTGTCCTCATGTCCCCGTGTCCTTGTGTCCCTGTGTCCCCGTGTCCTTGTGTCCCCATGTCCCCGTGTCCCTGTGTCCTCATGTCCCCATGTCCTCGTGTCCCCGTGTCCTCATGTCCCCGTGTCCTTGTGTCCCCGTGTCCTTGTGTCCCCATGTCCCCGTGTCCCYGTGTCCCCATGTCCCTGTGTCCCTGTGTCCTTGTGTCCCTGTGTCCTTGTGTCCCCATGTCCCCGTGTCCTTGTGTCCCCATGTCCTCATGTCCCCGTGACCTTGTGTCCCCATGTCCCTGTGTCCTCATGTCCCCGTGTCCTTGTGTCCTTGTGTCCCCGTGTCCTTGTGTCCCTGTGTCCCCGTGTCCCCGTGTCCTTGTGTCCCCGTGTCCCCGTGACCTTGTGTCCCTGTGTCCTTGTGTCCTTGTGTCCCCGTTAGCAGCAGCTCTACACTCACCACCAGTCCGTGATGAAGATTTCCTCTTTGGCCTCTTCCAGAGCGTCGGCCACGTCCTCCATGTAGGTTTTACCGTTTACATACCTGCAGATGACACACCAACCAAACTTTAGCTGTTTTGACTGTTTAGCTGTTTGCTTAAGCTGCAGGGTGACTAGAAAAGGCTTTTATTTTGAAGGACAATAAATCAGCTAAGGTGGCAGACATGACTTTGATTTAAAATGATTTTAAAGCAGTTTATAGAAAATAAACACTGAAGATGGAAGAAAAACTAAAAATTGRTCAAAACATGAACTAAAATCTAAAACTGTGACAGAAGCCGAAGAAGAGGTGCCTGCAGGAAGACTTTAGCTGCTCTGATGAGAGGCTAAAGATGTTTCGGCTCGTTTTAGGATTATAAATGTTGAGTTCAGGTCGAATCGCTTCAGGTCCAACAGTCTAACGTAACTAAGAGGAGTCGGATTCTGTGTTTCAACACACACACACACACACACACACACACACACACACACACACACACACACACTCAGTCTGTCCCACAGACAGGATTGTGTTGCTCGTCAGGAGGACAGGTGATGAGCAGGTGAGGCTCACTTTCCCTCTCTCAGTGTCGAGTTACGACAGACAGAAACTCACTTCTGAGCCTCTGTTCGAGCGAGGACAAATAAAAGCCATCGTGAAGAGCTAAAACTGAAGGAAGAGAACCAGAACCTGGTGCCAGCTGGACCAGGACTCCTCTAGACCGCTCAGAACTGGACCAGTTTACAGCAGAAACAAACTCTTCCATCTAAGCTTCTGTATTAAACCCGTCTATTATAATGAAATACAAACAGGAAGTGAGTGTTACCATTTGGCSGGGATGTTCTGTTGCTCCATGGCGAAGGAGCAGAAGCGGTGGTCCTTCAGGAAGGCGGAGCCGTGCTTCCTGGCGAAGTCTTCGATGGCCTGACCCCACCAGCGAGCGTGTCTGTAGCTGCCGCACTTCAGCACCAATGACCTACAGAAATAACGTTTAACCAACAGAAACTTACAGAATGAGAGCTGCAAACTGACACCAAAGACCCCCAGAACCCACCTGGACAGGCTGTCCACGCGGACCCCGTATTTGGTATCTGTGTCTTTGAAGTCCATCTTGATGCTGAACTCTTTGTCGAACAGCATCACAAACGAGATGGCACCAGAGTCTGGCTTCATGTAGAGCAAGAACGAGTCCTTCACCACCAGCCAGCTGCACACACACGCACAACACATGCACAACACACACACAAATGTATAAATTTAAATGGACACATTTTACACAAAGACCTAACTCCTGTCAGAGACCAGTGAAGGTCCTGAGGACGTGCTTTTTTGCTCTCAGCTTGGGGAAAAATTCACAAACTGGAWGTGATTTTGAYGAGGATCACAGMTCAGGAGCGAGCCTCCAGCATGTAAGGATTACATCTGGGTGATGCTTCAGACGGTGAGAGGCGAGGAATGACCCCAAATTCGGCTGAATGGCTTTTTCTTGCCACCTCAGAGTTGCAGTTGACACTTCAAAAGCAGCAAGAATTTCAAGGCTGCTTTGTTCCAAAACAAATGGATTAGCTATCTGGCGCCCAGCGGCACACCCTTAAGGGCAGTGCTTATCTCAGGCTGTGTCTCAATTTATGAATTGAGACACAGCCTCAACCTCCCCAGGATG